AAATCTGCTGCTAGCTACGTTAGTGAAGCCAAAAAAAACCAGGTGGAATTAATTTTAATAGCATTTTGTTTAACCCAGTGTATCTAAAATACGTTTCAGCATGTAGTCAATGTTTTTTAATTATTGAGACTTGACACTAGTCTCATACTAAGTCTTTGAAATCCAGTGTGTGATTTTCATGGATAGCATGTCTCAGCTGGAACTTGTCTCATGTCAAGGCCCAGTGGCCACATGTGGCAAGTGGTGGGACAGCCAGATCCAGAAAGGAGACATTAACAAGCACATGCATTAAACAGGATGCAGTCACGTCAGGTGCCATAGGGAGGTGCAGCATGCTACAGGAGACCGTGCTGTGGGCCTGATCAGTCTGCAGGTGACACTTAAGCGGGGTCATAAAGGATGAGCAGGACTGACCAAGGTGACGATGAGGGCGGTGGGAGAGAACACGCTGGGATCCTTATCTCATGCTAAGGATCTTTTTTTTACCCTCAACTTCTAATTGTGGTAAAAAACAAACAAAACAAAAAAAAACACATAACATTTCCCATCTTTCCTGGCCAGATAGCTCATTTGGTACTTAGAGTGTTGTCCTGATATGCCAGGGTTTCAGGTTTGAGCCCCGGTCAGGGTACATGCAAGAGTCAGCCAATAAATGCATCAATACGTGAACAACAAATCATGTTTCTCTCCCATTCATCAATCATTAATCAATAAAGAAAACTTTTTAAATGTTCTTATCCATCTCTAAATGGATAGTCAGTAGTGTTAAGTATACTCACATTGCCCTGACCAGTTTGGCTCAGTGGATAGAGCATCGGCCTGCGGACTCAAGGGTCCCAGGTTCGATTCCGGTCAAGGGCATGTACCTTGGTTGCAGGCACATCCCCAGTGAGGGGTGTGCAGGAGGCAGCTGATCGATCTCTCTCATCGATGTTTCTAACTCTCTGTCCCTCTCCCTTCTTCTCTGTAAAAAATCAATAAAATATATTTTTTAAAAAAAAAGTATACTCACATTGTTAGAAACCAGCCTCCAGAGCTCTTTTATCTGTCCAACTGAAATTCTATCCCCATTAGAATCCTGCTTCCCCCTCCCCTGGGGCCTTTGTACCATATATTCCAACTGATTACGTACGTTATGTGTGAGTTGGCGTGGGTTGAGGGGTTGCCAGTATCACGAAGGATTCCCCTGTCAGCTGGTATAGGCAGAAGCAAAGTCCCCGAAATGTCTAAAGGGTATGAGTTTGGTGGGAGTGGTTGACAGAGTCAAGGAGAGGCTGGCAGTTGAGCCTTGGGAACTGTGGGAAAGGGGTCTAGGGGAGGTTCATGGTTGTCAGAGGGTCTCCCCAGATACCCGGGCACCCACCCGATTCGTGGACGATGAGGAGCTAGCGTACGTGATCCAGCGGTACCGAGAGGTGCACGACATGCTCCACACCTTGCTGGGGATGCCCACCAACATCCTGGGTGAGTGCCAGCTGCCTTGAGCGTGGGGGTTGGGCAGGGCAGGATGCTCCAGCAAGCCTGTCCACCAGGGCCGGGCAGGGCTCGCCTCTCTGCCACCCGCCAATGAGCTGACATAGCGCCTCATTTTCTGCTTTATCGGAACATCTCGGTAGCATCTGTGCCAGCCCCAGTACCTCTCAGGCTCCGACACAGATGAGAAGCATCCAAGCAGCAGGCTCCCTCTCCTGACACCCTCGGGAACTCCCGAAGGCTTGTAGGAACTAGCCTGGCTGTCAAGTCTTCTGCATTCTGACCCCAAACTTCCTCTCCAGCCCTTCTTTCCTCTGGCTCTTTCTTGGGCCCTCTCCTCCCCACCAAGCCAAGTGCCTGGGCACAGCACAGACCAGACTGAGCATGGCTGACCCCTTTAGAGAAGAGACACCTTAGAGGGGAGCAGACACCTCACTGTTCCCTGCCATGAGCATCCCTGGCCTCTCTTCCTGGCCCCTCCTCACCTCCCACCTCCATCTCTACCCTGTCCCGCAGGGGAGATCGTGGTGAAGTGGTTTGAGGCTGTCCAGACCGGCTTGCCCATGTGCATCCTGGGCGCGCTCTTTGGACCAATCCGACTCAGTGCCCAGTAAGTTCTCAAGGGGTGGGGGTGAGGGGTCAAGGGAGATGTCAAAGGGGCCAAGGCTCCAGGAAAATGAAGAGCATGCAGCCTTCCTAAGCAGCCTCAGTGGTCCTCCAGGAAGCCAGGGTGGAAGGAACGGGGCGGAGAGGTGAAACTGGCTTGGCCCAGGGCCTCCAGGCCAATAACTGAAGCCTGGATAGTTCATGGGACCCTCGAGTCTCTTGGGCCAGGCCTTGGTGCCAAGGCAGAATGATGCAGGTGCTGCTGGGGGCAATCTACATTAGTTTCTGGAGTGAGGTAGCCCTCAATTTAAACCTGGGTGTGGCGAGGTCAAGATGGGTGGCTTTGGGCATGGGATTCTAACCTCGCTGAGTTTCTGCATCCTCATTTAAAAATTGGTGATAATAACCCCTTTGTCTTGGGTCTGTGTGAGGATCAACTGAGAAAATGCACGTGGACCGCTGGGCACACAGTGTGCCGGCCCTCAGGACCCTCTGTTTTCTCCCTCTGCTGCCCCATAGGCACCTGCAAGTGCTGGTCTCGGAGCTGGTCCCGTGGGCAGTTCAGAACGGGCGCAGGGCCCCGTGTGTCCTCAATCTGTACTACGAGCGGCGCTGGGAGCAGCCCCTGAAGGCTCTGCGGGAGGAGCTGGGCATCACGGACCCCCCCGTGCACATCAAGGCCTAGGCCCTCCTCACCCCACCCCACCCACTTCCCCCGGAGGCAGAAGGCTCCATGGCCACTACCTTTGTTCCTTTTCTTTGAACATTGACCTTGGGATATTACTTATCAGAATTTGTCGTAACAGTGCTGAGTGGCTCTGAGGGCCAACCCAGGCGGGAGCAGGCAGTGCAGCTCCCAGGGGAGCCTGGAGCTGCCCAGAGAACCACATGTGGACAGGAACCAGCCATCTGGACTCTCACTGGTCCACACCTGCTCTAGACCCTCCCTCCCAGCCAGGGCTTTCTGGGTGCCAGGCTGAGCGTCTTCCCAGGAGTGAGGATGCGACCCAATCCCAAAGGCCGGAGAAGAGGGAGGCAGAGGGGAATGGAGTCTCCACCGTCCGAAGAAAGGCTCCCTCAGGTTGAGGGCCCGCTTCCCTGCCTTCGCCCAGTGCTGGCTGACACAGCCTTGGGCTTTTGAGCCCCGAGAGGAAACACCCCCTCCAGTCTGCGCTTCAGCGGCTAGGCCCACCTCGGGCCTGAAGTTGGCCCCACAGATTCAAGCTCCTAACTCCTCTAGGGTTTTCTAGCAGAGGGCCTGGGGGCAGTCCCTCCCCTCGGCCCATTTCATCGCTAAAGGGAATGAGAACAGCACTCTGGTTATTGCGGAGGCTTCATGCGGCGATGCTCTCTGAAGGACCAAGGGGCAGGAGCGATTGCGTTACTGTGTGCGCAGGTGGAGGAGCAGCTGCGAGACTACAGGTTCATCTTGGAGCAGCAACCAGGCATTTTCCTTGGGTCAGAGCCAAGGAGTGGGGACAGACAGGTAAAAGGGATCGTGGAAGAGTAGGTGGCCCTGGCTGTGGATTTAGAACCAGATACTCTGTGAGAATGGCAGAGCCTTTAGAGTTTTCAGGGACTAGTTCCTTGTTGTGTGGCGGGGGCAACAAAGGCCCAGGATGGGCAAGGACTTGGCTGGAGTAACTAGAACACAGGTTGCAAGGGCTCCTGCTTAGTTTTCTTGTGCCTCAGTTTCCCTAGGGATAATAACAGTTACAGTGTAGTTATAACTACTGTGTGCTAAGCAGTGCCAAACACTTCTGTTTATTATCACATTGACACCAACAGTCATGGGGGGAGGTGGTACTATTTACTGAATTTTCCTAAAGAGGCAACAGGAACAGAGCTGGGGCTGGACCTGCTCAGCACTGCCATGCCGTGTGTTGGCCTTGTGCCCGCCACATCTCAGTCTAGGGCTCCCAGTGGCAGAGGGAGGACGTGGGAGGCTGGAGGCTGACCTCGGAGCCATCGCCTTTTCAAGAGGGAAGCCTTTTCCTGAGCTGAGTTTCTGCAGAAAGAGGAGGAGGTTGGAGTGGGCTCCTCATACCTCATCGATCTTTGCAGTACAGGCCTTTCCAGACCTGCCCGCCATTTCCGTGGCTTCCCAGGATCCCAGGCACTGTTCCTAGAGCAGTAAAAGTCAACAGTGCCAAGATCAGGGGCGAAAGGTCAGACTCGAGATGGCCTCTGCCCAGCCTGGTAGCTCACCTGCTCCAACCTCTTGGTGCCTGCGCAACCCTGGGCCTCTATAGCACGCAAGAGATGGGCGCTGGGTATTGGGATTAGCGGGGGTGGCCGGTAGAGTCCTGCTTCCAGATCAAAGGGTGGCATTTTTCACTTGATCTTAGCCAAAAGGCCGAGAAGCGATCAAAGGGTGGCATTTTTGTCACCAGCTGGAGGACAATTATACTGGCTATAGCTACCGCATACTGAGTTCTTACCGCAGGCCATGAGGCCCTGTCAACTTCTGCCTGGAAACTTACATTCATCTTAATAAACCATGTTGACCTTTTTCCTATCTTTGTTCCCAAGTCATTACATAGTCAGCTTCTTGTTATTCACATCTGTGCTCAAATGTCACCTCATTAGGGGCCTGCCCTGACCGCGCCATCTGAGACGGCCCCCTCCCCTTTACTCCACATCACCTGTTAGAGTGCTTACCACTCAGAAATTATCTTTTTTAACTTTTTATTTACTTTTATATTCCAGAGAGAGCGAGAGAGAAGAAGGGAAACACTGATTTGTCATTCCACTTATTTATGCATCCATTGGTTGCTTCTTGTATGTGTCCTGACCAGAGATCAAACCTGCAACCTTGATGAACAGGGACGATGCTCTAACCAACTGAGCTACCGGGCCAGAGCACTCCGAAATTATTTTGTTTCTTTACTTACAAGTTCCATGTCTTCTCCAGGAGGGCAGGGACCCTATTCTTTCACTGCTGGGAACAGTGCTTGGCACACAGCAGGGGCTTACTGCTTCGTTGCTGAAGGAATGGATGTCAAGCCCCACGCTGAGCACCCCACATGCAAGATCTTATTCAGCCCCCACCACAGCCTCACTTCATGGTGAAGACCCTGGGTCTCGGGTTTAGAAAGTGCCCCGGGTCCCACAGCTCGGGGTGGGGGGGGCGAATGGGGGGGTGGAGCTTGTCTCAGGACGCACAGGGAAGCTCCCTTTCCCTCTGCCCCACAAAAGCCACATGTAGCTGATCCCAGAGCGGTGTTCGGGGGCTCAGGCTCTAAGGGCAGACCTGGCCCACACTGACCAGCTCTGCCCCCTTGCGCTCGTCAGGCCACCCCTTCGAGCCTCTGTTTTCTTCTCTTTAAAATTAGGGAGAGGATATGCCTGTCCCACAACAGGGCCATGTGCTCGTGCAGTTTGCACATAGTAAACACTCAGGAAATGGAAGCTGTCCCTTGCCAGGAAGGCCCTTGGAGGCCTCTGAAGTCATCATGTACAAATCAACCAGAGTGTTTATTTTGCACACACCCAGAGTGGGTGGACTTACACAACTCGAAGGTCACTAACGCCGTCCGACTGACTGTCTGTGGGGTAAGCGCCTACTGTGTGCCAGGGATCAAACCACTCCACTCTGGAGAGGTTTAATTCAAGTGAGTCCAAATGTGAGGCTCTGGTAAAGCTGGAGCTTTAAGTGCTGATGTTCCCTAATGCAGGGCAGATGGGGGTCATGTCCATGGAAAGGAGCCCACGGTGAGGTCAGCCTAGGCTGAGCCTGTCCCACCAATGACAGCATCCAGCTCCTGCCCTTCCTAAGAACCTGCAATGCCTCTTCACTGCACCAGGACAAAACTCAACCTGGCACACAAAGGCCTTTCCAACCCCTTCCCACCACACGGCCTTCCCTGCCCATGGAAGGGACTAGTGTCTTCTAAGTGTTTGCTGGTTGCTGGGGGTTCTCAGTGCTCAAGACAGCTGCATCCCCACCCTCTTGGATGAGCAACTTTACGGCAGCTGAGACCTCCCAGGTGCCAGCCCTGCGCTGACAGCTTGACATGCCCATCTCATTGAATCAATGCCCAGCCCCACGAAGCAGGGGCCATGATGGCTGGATTTCCATTCGACAGATAAGGACACTGAGGCTCCATCGGGAGAGGTGATTTGCCCAGTGACTCACGGTTGGGGATGGAAGTGCAACCCAGATGCATCTGACTACAAAGCAAAGAAGACATCACAATAATGTGTGGTGGGTATTACAGAAGCGCAGTGAGCAACCTTGTCTAGTGATCTAATCTCCACCCGCCCTCACTATAAGCAACTTGAAGGCAGACTGTCTTGTTGCCTCTGTGTCCCCTTGCACCTACCCCTCAGGCCCGGCCCCCTGGCTGTGGACTTACTGCTTTGGCTTCACCAATGTGACCTGCCTGGGTGGAGGAGAACAGGGGGGCTGGTCACCACCACCCTACTTCAAATTCTCACTTGCCTTATTTGCATATCACCTCCGCAGTTGATGTGGAAATAATCGTAATTATTTCCCTGGATCCTGGTGTGGATAAGGTCAGTGCTTCCAATTCACTCTCCCTGTCAAACATTTATCAAGCTTCTGTTATTTGCTAAGCCCTGTGGATACAATCAGAGATAATCTTCATGCCTAGATTTTGTAGGAGCTTTGTGGTCAATGAGCCTGTAAACTACAATAACAAGTATGTCAAGTGCTAATTCAAAAGGTCCCCATGAAACCCTGTGAGATAATCACTATTGGTATGTTCTCATCTATACTAATAAAAGGGTAATATGTTAATTAGGGTGTACGTCCATCCAGACAAAGCCACAGCAGCTGCGAGTCCAGGGCTCACGGCAGCCGTGGGCTCAAACAGCCGTGAGCCCCAGTGGCTGCGAGGCCCAGGGCTCAGGCCTCACAGCCGCAGTGGCTGGCAGTGGCGGCAGCAGCAGAGTGATGGGGGTGGCGCATTCCCCTGATCAGCCCGGTCGCCTCCCGCAGAGGGAGGCCAGACTGTGGCTTCTGGCCGCAGTCTGGCCATCAGTAGGACGTCCCCTGAGGGCTCCTGGACTGTGAGAGGGGGCAGGCCAGGCTGAGGGACCCCTCCCCGCCCCCGCCCAAACCCCCGAGTGCATAAAATTTCTTGCACCAGGCCTCTAGTTTTTACATAGAAGAAGAAATGGAGACTTTGAGTTGACCCATGTCTGTTGGATGTCCACACCCATAAGCACCCAGTGCAACACTGCCTCCTGACTGTAACACCCATGGGGAAGGAGTTGCTTTAATTTACCTAGCTCCCCCAAAAGGAGGCACCCTATACGCTGGAAGAAATAGGTCCAAATACTTATCAGACCAAATTTTCATTTTTAATCCCTATGAATAGACCCTGAAAACTGTCCCTACCCCCTTTTTAAGGACTTCTACTAGACTAAAGGATTCAGGGATCTATTCAAAGACAGATGGCAGCCATGGATGACCAACATGTTTTGATTATCAAGGAACCAAGTTTTCAGAGGCCCAGAGCTGCACAGGGCTGGGAAGTTGGCCAATGGCCCAGGGCTTAGCAGGTGGCATGACAAATATGGTCATTGACTTGGAGGTTAATTTCCTGCAGGGTTCAGTGATTAGAAGTCAAAGTTAGGTCTCCAGATCCATGCCCTTTGTACCATCAGGTGTGCCAGATTGCTTACAAGATACTACCATGGATGAGAAAGGATTCCTACTCAGTAATCCAGGCACCAAGTTTACTGTCCCAGAAGCGGAGGTGAGAGGTGCTCAAATCTGCAGGTCTTCTGAACCTTCTAAAGGTACTATGTCCATAAAAAAAAAAATACCCAGGGAGAGATCAACCAAAGGACTTGTATGCATGCATATAAGCATAACCAATGGACACAGACACTAGGGGGCTGAGGGCACGACGTGGGGGGGGGGGCAATAGGGGGGGGATAAGGGCACATATGTAATACCTTAATCAATAAAGAAAAAATAATTATAGAACATAAAAAAATGGAATTGAGGGAGGACCTCAAACCCAAAACTTTAGCATAACCATGCCAAATTCCAATAAAAGTCCAATGCGCTGGCCATTTTGCCACAGAACCAGTTACTGAACTTAATCCTTGCTAACCTTTCTGTCTGAAACCACACTTCTAGCTCTCTCCTAGGTGTGGTGCTGGGCCTTTGCCGAATGGTGCCGGGTCTAAACGCGGACTCCGATTCTCCGCCAATGTGGCAGGTGGGGGGTGCTCTCCCATAGAACCGAATGCCGGAGGATTGGGAGTTCGGGGCCCAGGCAGAGCCCGCCAGTCTCTTACCGGTCCTGGGTGCGGGGGTGGGGTGGGGGTGGTGGTGGTGGTTGGGGGGTTGGGGGGGGTGGAGAGAGAAGACAGCACGGGTCTCTGCGGCACGGACTACAACTCCCAGAATGCCACGGGAGGCGTCACTTCGGACCGTCGCGCGCGCAGGGCGGGCTGGGCCAGGTGGCGTGGAGCGCGCTGGGACTGCCCTGCGCCTCTCGCTCTGCGGCTCGCGTTGTTGCCGGCCGGCGCAGCCGGTTTGGGCTGCTGGAGGCAGGACGGGGGAGGAGCGCCGCGGGCGGGCGGTGCTGAGCGGCGGGAGGGACTGTCCGGGCCATGCAGGGCGCAGAGCTGGCGAAGGGATCTTGAGACCCGGCTCTGCGCGCTCAGGGGCGGCTGACGCCCCCCGCGCTCCCCACTCCGCTGCCGCTGCCGGGCCGCATCTGGACGGGGCGCCGCGCGGCGGGGCCGACGCTGGGTGAGCATAGACCAGGCGAATGGGTCCCTGGGCGGGGGAATGTGCCCGGCCCGTCGGAGGCAGGTGTGACGGTGCCGGCCTCGGGTGAGGGGCGCGCCCTGCTGCTGTCTCCTTGCCGGCAGCTCTGCTGCTACCCTGGCTCTTTAAGGGCCAGGGCTGTATGCAGTGACCGACCTGGGATAGGGGCCCGAGGCACTAGGCATCCCCTTCTCTCCACATTCCATCTCCAGCCTTCCGGGACGGTCTCTCCTACCCTTGGCTCCGGCGGCTCTGGAAGGCCAGAGTCTGAGGACCTTGGAGATAGATCCTGGCTTTGGAGTTGGGGTCGCTAGTTCGGTACTACCGGCTTTTTCTTTCCGCGTGAAGGAGCGGGAGGTGGTCTGTAAGAGCTCCCTGTGGTCCAGACCATGTCCTCATTCCGGCTCGGAGGCTCTCCGGCTACATTACAGCCGTGACCTTCACCCCCTCCCCAGGAACAGGACCTGAAGGAAAACTCAGCCCTACCTGCCGCGCTCTTGAGCAGATCCGTGAAGAGCCAGGAATAGAACCCAAGCGCGCTAATCTCAGCCCAGCCAGGTTTCCCCCTCCCCCTGTGCCCAGTCCCCCAGTATTCATCCGAGTGGCTTGCTGAGTGTGTGTGTGGCGGTGCCTTCAAGGCCCTCTTCCTCTCAATCATCTTTTCCTTTTGGGCGATCACCTCTCAGGCACCTCCGGACTCTACCCCGTTTGCTCTGTCGCCCCCTATGGGCCAGCAGAGGCAAGGCGCTGCCTGAGCCTCTGGGCAGGGACGGGGCTAGGGCCCCTTCCCAGGAAGCTGCCCCTCTGGGTGTCGTGGCTTGGCCTGGTCATCCACACACCTGCCCAGGTTTTTGGGTATGGAGTCGAGCCAGAGGTGTTTACGTTAGTACCCCTCTCCAAGCCATTTTGGTTAGGGACCCTAGATGGAGAGTGGACTGTCCTATTTTGGCGGGAAAGGTTTTTGAGGGCAGGTCCCACTACACCCATTGCACAGAGGGGGAAACTAAGTCCTAAAGTAGGAAAGGGACTTGCCCAAGGTCACTCGGAAAATTATGGGCAGAGATGGGACAAGGGCGCTAGCACCTAGACTCCTGCCTATCACTTCTGGAATGCCTCACCTCTCCTCCAATGCCTCTAGCCTGCCCCTTCCAGGCAGCCCTCTCACTCGGTATTGCCAAGACACACTACAGGTTGACCCATGGGATCATAGTGGCCTGGCTGACCGGGCCAGGAAGTGGAGAACTTGGACATTTGAATCCACTGACTACCCTGTGCTCACAGGCCACGATGCTGCTCGGGGCGTCTCTCCTGGGAGTGTTGCTATTCTCCAAGCTGGTGCTGAAACTGCCCTGGACTCAGGTGGCGTTTTCCCTGCTGCTCCTCTATCTGGGGTCTGGCGGCTGGCGCTTCGTCCGGATCTTCATCAAGACCATCAGGCGCGATGTTTTGTGAGTACCCGGTTTAGCCCTTCCTGGAGTCTCCCACGCCTCTCTGGGCTCCTCATCCACAAAATTTCCGCAGAACAGACCCGGGGCCTCTACCAGCACAGGGTAGCTGGGCCCCAAAGCAGCAGCCTCTTCTCCACACTCTTTCCCTGGCACTCGTATCTCCATCTCCAAGGTCACAGTCTCCTCCTGGGGAACCTCCATAACTTGGTGCTCCTTAGCCTGGGGCCAACTTGGGGGCCCGGGGCATAGCATGGAACACTGTTAGGGAGAGGTGTTGAGGAGACGTCTGAAAGGGGTCTGTAGTTTGTAACAGGAACCCTGTGGGAAAGGTCCTGTCCTTGGGTTGGCATGAGTCTGAGAGGGCCCCGCGTCAGATATCTGGGAAAACCTGCCCCCCTGAGAATCAGCTGTGCTCCATAGGGATGTCCTGGGCCAGAAACACCCGCTGTTGCCTCCTCTGTGCCAGGTGCGAGGCTCTGGAGCCCAGAGAGGAGCAAGGCAGACCCAGTCCCGGGCCGAGCTTGGACTGGTCTGAGAGAGACTTAGGGGACACAGTAAATCCCTAAGCTGGCAGAGACCCTGGCAGTCTTGCTCACAGTAGTGTCCCAGTGCCCAACACAGTGACTCACACCCAGAACAGGCAGCTCAGCATTTGTCAGTCTGAGTTGATTTCAAAAGGAAAAGAGTGGCCACTGCAGGAAGGGTGGTAGCAGCGGAGAGCTGTGGGAGCGGGGCCGAGAGAGATGGCTTAGGCCAGGGCCTTAGGGAATCAGAGAAGGCCTTCTGGAGGCAAAGTAGTTCTTTCCTTTTTGGAAAAATTTATTTTTATTGATTTCAGAGAGGCAGAGAGAGGGAAAGGGAGATAGAAACATCAATGAGGAAAGAGAATCATTGATTGACTGCTTCCAGCATGCCCCCCACTGGGGATCCAGGCATGTACCCTTGACCGGAATCAAACCGGGGACCCTTCAGTCTGCAGGCTGATGCTCTATCCACTGAGCCAAACTGGCTAGGGCCAAAGTAGCTGTTCTTGAGAGATACCTCAAGGTGGTGGGATCCAGGGATTCCAGGCAGAGGGTAGAGCATCAGCAAGGGCATAGAGGCTGGGAAGCTGGGACAGATCAGGGGCAGAGGTGGCAGGGCCAGGGCAGGAGCGTGGGGTGTGGCCAGGGATTCCACAAACACCTGCTGAACATCTCTGTGCAGGACCCTGAGCAGGGCCCAGAGGACAAGGTGGTGACTAGGCTGGAGCCCTCCCCTTGCTGGGCTCACAGAGAGGAAGACTGGACAGATCGCAAACTCATCCTTTATTGGGCAATGTGGGGGGAGGTAGAGTATGGCCTTGTGGAAGGCCCCGAAAGAGATCTTCCCTTGGGCCCTGGAGCCCAGAATGCGCTGACGGAGCAGCAGACTCAGAGTAGACGGGGATGGCAGTACGGGTTGAACTCTGTAGCCAGAGAGACTGGGCTTCAAATCTCCACCTATGAAGCCAGGGCCAGCCATCTGCTGGCAGAGCCTCAGTTTCCCCCTCCGTACAGGGGAGGGAGTAATTGCCCTGGTCCCTGAACGACATAAGCAGGCTGGTGTGTGTAACAGTGGCCAGCATACAGGTGCTGGACAAGGGGAGTGTTGCAAGTGATGGGGCTCAGGAGCCTTAGGCCCATGGGGCAGCACCCTGGGGCGGGGTGCAGGGACCCCCACTCCCAGCCTCAGCAGTCACAGCTCCCTCGCTGGCCCCCACACAGTGGCGGCCTGGTGCTCCTGAAGGTGAAGGCGAAGGTCCGGCGGTACCTGCGGCAGCGGCGGACAGTGCCCATCTTGTTTGCCTCTACGGTGCAGCGCCACCCTAACAAGACAGCCCTGATCTTTGAGGGCACAGACACACACTGGACCTTCCGCCAGCTGGATGACTTCTCGAGCAGTGTGGCCAACTTCCTGCAAGCCCGGGGCCTGGCCTCCGGCGATGTGGCTGCCCTCTTCATGGAGAACCGCAATGAGTTCGTCGGCCTGTGGCTGGGCATGGCCAAGCTGGGCGTGGAGGCCGCCCTGATCAACACCAACCTGCGGCGGGACGCCCTGCGCCACTGCCTGACCACCTCCCGGGCCCGGGCCCTCATCTTTGGCAGCGAGATGGCCCCAGGTGAGCCCCAAAGAGGCAGGGACAGGCAGGAAGTCTCGTGGGACTTGCACAGACCTCTTCCAGCCCTGGGGGAAGCTGTGTAGCTCAGAGGTTAAGAGCATGAGCCTTAGAATCAGACGACCTGGGCTCTGCCACTGGTAAGCTGGTGATCCTGAGTAAGAGACCAGAGTTCTCTGTGCCTCCGTTTCCTCGCTGTAGTACCTACTCATACTGTTTTCAAGGTAATACTTCACCTGAAGCACTAACAGAGTGGTTGGTGGGAGGTGAGTCCTCAGATTTAATTGGTAACCATTCTTGTGACTAATTAGGCCTCATTTCTTCATCTGTAAAATGCGAACAAGAGTCCATTCTCTGCTGTCCTGGTATGTTAACTGGGTGCTGAGCATGGTACTGTATAAGAGCAGCTCTAATCTTCACAAAGCCTGCTGAGGAAGGGACTTCATCAGCTTGGTAGATGAGGAGACTGAGGTTCATAGTGGTGTGAGGAACTCATGCAACTGGTAAGT